GACAAACTCCAAATTCAGGATGGTAGTTTCCTCTGAGAGTGTGCGAGGGAAATGGAATGAGAAAGGGCAGAGTGAGCTTTAAAGTATTGATAATAAATAAATAAATAAATAAATAAATAAAGCTATCGATGATGCTATTTTTCTAAAAGTGGTGAGTATATGAATGTTCAATTTGTTAATAATCTCCAAACCACACATATGTTATATATGCTCTTTTGTATGCAGAGACATTTCATACTAAAAATCTTAAAAGGTAAATATTGTCACATTGGGTTAACCATGATAAGCCAACCATGTACCTCATACAAAGGACACACTGAAAATAAAATAACACAGAAAGGTTAAAAATAAAAGGATGGGCAAAGTTATATCAGCAAATACAAACAAGAAGAAGACACAAGTAGCAGTGTTAATATAAGACAAAATAGAACTAAAGGCAAAAAATAGGAGTGTTATGTATATTTATATATTTATAGATACACGTAATCCATGACAGACTATCATCAGCCACAAAGTGCAATGAGATAAATAACATAGCCTCAAAATATACAAAGCAAATAATAGAAGTCATCAAGGAAAATGACTGAAGCATAATTTTTTAATTTTTAATTTTTAAATGTCACACTGTAAAGTGAAACCTTGTGGGGGTATAGTTCTATGAATTTTGATAAATACATAAAGTCATGTAACCACCATGATCAAGATACAGAACAGTTGTATCACCCTCAAAAATGCACTCCTGCTGCACCTTTGTAGTCAAATGCACCTGCACTTCCAATTCCTGGAAAAATCTTTCATCTGTTTCAGTTCCTATTCTCTATTTTTAAAATGATTTTATTTATTTGAGAGAGAGTGTGTGTGAGAGTATAAGCAGAGGGAGCAGCAGAGGGAGAGAAGCAGACTCCCCATTGTGCAAGGGAGCCTGACTCAGGTATCCATCCCAGGACCCTGGGATCATGACCTGAGTCAAAGGCAGATGTTTACCTGAATGAGACACCCAGGCACACCGCCCCCATAGTCTTCTTTTTCTAGAATATCATATAAATAGAATCATATCATCTTTTGAGTCTGGCCCCTTTCGCGCAGCATGCCTCTGAGATACTTCCAAGTGTTGCATGTATCAATAATTCATTCTGTTTTATGGCCCGATAACATTCAATTGTATGGATGTACCACAATATTGCTTAAGATTCACCCAATGAAGGGCTTTTGAGTAGTTCCACTTTGGAAGCATTATGAATAATGTTATAAATATTTGTGTATAGGGATTGTGTGTAAACATAAAATTTTATTTGTCTTGGGTAGGTTGACTTTATGAGAAACTGTACAAATTCTTTTCCAAAATGTATGTACTATTTTGCATTCCCAAATAATAATGGAGCAAAATTCTTGTTGCTTTGCATCCTCCCCAGCATTTCACACTTGAAACATAATCTTAACAAATCACAGTCAATGACAGTACATATACCCTCCAGATCAACAATAAAATAGATAGATGTTTGGACAATATGATTACAACACAATTAAGGTTGAATTAATAAATACTTCATGTCAATGTACATGATAGTGAAAACATCTCCATTCCAAGAGTCCATGGAATATTTATTTATTTAAAAATATTTTTTAAAGGTTTTATTTATTCATGAGAGAAATAGAGAGAAGCAGACACATAAGCAAAGGGAGAAGCAGGCTCCATGCAGGGAGTCCGATGTGAGACTCGATCCTGGGACTCCAGGATCATGCCCTGAGCTGAAGGCAGACACCCAATCGCTGAGCCACTGAAGCATCCCTATTTATTTAAAATTTTGTTTATTTATTTGAGAGAAAGAGTGCACTCTGGCAGGGATGAAGGGAGTGACAGAGGGCGTGGGGGGCGGGGAGGGGTGTGGGTAGGCAGAAGGGTAGGGAGAGGGAAAGATGGAGAGAGAATCTCAAGCAGACTCTATGCTGAGCTTGGAACCCTTCTTGGGGCTGGATCTCATGACCCTGAGATCATGACCTTGAGCTGAAACCAAGAGTCGTCAAATGCTTAACTGACTGTGCTACTCAGTGCCCTGAGAATCTCTGGAACACTTATAAAAATAGATCATATTCTAGGCCACAAAGAAAAGTTGTATTCTTTTCCTAATGTAGAAACTGTACCATAATGTAATAAATATAGAAAATAATAACAAAAATTTAAGTAGCAATAAAAATGATTGCATAGAGGTCATAAAACCATTTGTCAAAATAATAATTACTTTGGGTCATAGAGGAATTAAAATTTTTAAAATTTTATTAAAGATTTTATTTATTTATTCATGAGAGAAATAGAGAGAAGCAGAGACACAGGCAGAGGGAGAAGCAGGCTCCATGCAGGGAGCCCGATGTGGGACTTGATCCCAGGACTCCAGGATCACACCCTGGGCCAAAGGCAGGCGATCCACCGTTGAGCCACCCAGGCATCCCTTTAAAAACTTTTTTGAGTAATTTTTTTTTTTAAAGCTATGTTCTTTTTTTTTTTAATTTTTTAATTTTTTTATTTTATGATAGTCACACAGAGAGAGAGAGAGAGGCAGAGACATAGGCAGAGGGAGAAGCAGGTCCCATGCACCGGGAGCCCGACGTGGGATTCGATCCAGGGTCTCCAGGATCGCGCCCTGGGCCAAAGGCAGGCGCCAAACCGCTGCGCCGCCCAGGGATCCCTTGAGTAATTTTTAAATTTAACCGAAGACTGTGTAGAAAATAATGAAAATAAGAGCACTATTCAACTACAAGCTCAGGTTGAAATGCTTTTCTTATTACATTTTCTTTATTAAATTAGGAGGAAAAAAGGAAAATATTTCCCAAAGAGAACATTGAGGAAATAAAGAAAGCCAAATATTGTGACAGTCCAGTTGCGGTTCTCTCTCTGGGTAAATCAAGCTCTTACAGGGCGGGGCCATATCATTTGCCATCACAGTTGACCCTTGAATAACATGGGTTTGAATTGCAGGGGTCCACTTTTTTTTCCAATACATACCGTATAGCACTGCAAATGTATTTTTTCTTCCTTTAGGAGCTTAGGAAGAAGAGAGGGAGAGAGTGTCCATGAGCAGGGGGAGGAGCAGAGGGAGCAGAGAGAGCAGAGAGCATCTCAAGCAGGCTCCACACCCAGTGAGAGCCCCATGTGAGGCTGATCTTAGCACCCTGAGATCAAGACTCAGATGCTTAACCCGCTCAGCCACCCAGGTGCCCCTCCTTTATGATTTTCTTAATAACATTTTTTCTCCTACTTTACTGTAAGAATGTAGCATATAATACATGCAATGCACAGAATATCTGTTCACGGGCTATTTATGTTATCCATAAAGCTTCTGGTCAACAGTCAGCTACCACTAGTTAATTAAGCTTTGGAAGAGTCATAATTGAGTCAAAAATTTTCCACTGCCTGGTGGTGGGTGCCCCTCATCCCCTTCCTTGTTGAAGGGTGGTGAAGAGTGTGCCTGGCTTTCAATATGAATTCAGTACTTGGAAGTACTTTTCACCTTCCCAAAGTTAGCCATTCTCTCCTTGGTGCTTCCACAATAGGGTATTTTAGCATTTATTAAAGCACTGCACTCACATAAGCTTCCCACATCACGGCAGTCCTTTATTTTTTTTTTTTAATATTTAATTTATTTATTCATGGTAGACAGAGAGAGGCAGACAACACAAGGCAGGGGGAGAAGCAGGCCCCATGCAGGGAGCCCGACGTGGGACTCGATCCCAGGTCTCCAGGATCACGCCCTGGGCTGAAGGCGGCACTAAACCGCTGAGCCACCCACGGATCCCGCAGCAGTCCTCTAAAAACAATTATTCAGGGGCACCTGGGTGGCTCAGTCGGTTAAGGAGCCAACTCTTGAGTTCAGCTCAGGTCATGATTTCAGGGTCACGAGTTCCAGTCCCACGCTGGGCTCCGTGCTGAGTGTAGACTCTGCCTTAAGATTCTCTCTCTGGGCCCCCCCCCCCGGTGGCTCCGTGGTTGAGCATCTGCCTTTGGCTCAGGCCGAAATCCCCAGGTTCTGCCATCGGGCCCACATCAGGTTCCCCGCAGGGGCCTGCTTCTCCCTCGGCCTATGTCTCTGTCTCTCTGTGTGGCTCTCGTGAATAAATAAATAAAATCTTTTAAAAATAATTTGGGGGCACCTGGGTGGCTCAGTGGCTGCCGTTGGCTCAGGTCATGATCCCAGGGTCCTGGGTTCCAGCCCAGCATTGTGCTCCCTGCTCAGCAGGGGAGTCCGCTTCTTCTCCTCTCCCTCGGCCTGCTGCTCCCCCCTACTTGTACTCTTGTCAAATAAGTAAATAACCTTTAAAAAAGATAAACACAACTGTTTACACCACTCAGTAGGCACCAGGCAACTGACGTTATTTAATCGTCATAACTTTTTTTGATATCATTTTCCTCAAACTGAGGATCGTATCACAAATTCGTCACAAAGACAGGATTTGGTTGCACATTCTCTACTTTCAAAAACAGGCTCTTTTTTTACCCAAACAGGTTTTCAATTCAGGAACGAGGTGAGGCTGCCACCTAGATACGCTCAGCTCCTCGCCTAGCTCCTGGCACGGAACATCTCAAACAAGTGAGCGCCAGCTGCGTCCCGTTTGCAAACTCCCCTTTGGTGCACTGTACAGAGGCACGCTAATTACGAGCACCCGATTTACGCACGGAAAGAAATCCACAATTTAGGACACGGCGCGCCTTGCGGCCCTTCTTTCACGCCCGTCTCTATGGTTGGCATGTGACCACTCTACACTCTGGAGGACTCAGCGAGGACAGCCTCTCCTGAGGCCCCTTTACCAGCACGTGACCGGAAGTCTGGCTTGCTATTGGCTAGTGCCGGTAAATCCCGCCCAACCGCCTCCTGTCAGTTCCTTTAAGTAGAAGCCAGACGCCGGCGCTCGGTCTTTCGGGGACTGTGACGCTGGACCGGCCAGGTGTGTGTGTGTTGGGCCCCGGCGGGCCGGCCCGCAGCCTGGTGGGTCGCGGGGGGTGGCCTGCAGTGATGACATTCCAGAAAAATGCACGTGTTAGACTGCTGACGCGGGTGATGCGAACTACAGTCTGAGTCGGGCCTCCGCGGCGGTGGGCAGGAGACGAGCAGGCCCGCGGGCGCGCAGCCGCTAACCACCGCTCTCGTTCTTGCAGGTTCCGGCTGGGCCGAGGACGTCGGAGCTTCCTGCCCTCCTCCCCTCCCACCTTTACCCTGAAGCACCGCAATAAAATGGTTTGATCCAGCGCTGGTGTTAAGCGTCTTCGTCGTCCCGACGCGCTGCCTTTGAGCCCCCGCCGCGCCTGCGCGTGGCGCCGGGGGTCAGGCTGCAGCGCCAGAGCACGCGCTTGCGCATAACTGGGGCCGCCCGGTTTCCCCGCCGGCGGCCCTTTTAACCGCGAGCGACACGGCGGCACCTGCAGGGGACGGGAGCGTGGGGCGGGGGCGATCTGCGACTCCAGCCTCAGCCCTTGAAGCCGAGGCTGAAACGCCCTGGGCAGACGCGGCGATCCTCTAGGCCCCGGTACTCAGGGCCCTGCACGTTTCCTGGAAGTCCTGACCTCCGTGGTCTTCGAGACCTGCAGGCTAACCGCGGCGTGGGTGGCCTCTGGAGGGGGGGGGTGCTGTCCGTGAGCAGCTGGAAGGGCCGCTGTACACTTGACGGGAACTGGTTTCAGTCTTGAATGCTTCCAGTAAGTTACCTTACCTGGTTAAGGTGTAGCAGCGACCCACTTCGAGAAACTACCATTTAGGGTCAACTGCTTACTTGGATACTGTGCCAAGCATGGGAATAAAAGCTTTGCAGTTTAGCCCAGTTAGCCTAAACAAGGTAGTTCAGATGAAGTAGATTTTATGCATTGCGGGGCACATCAGGTACCTAAATAAATGCACAGTCCTTCCCGGTCCGGATGATTGGTGGTGGTCTCATCTGGGTTTGGGTGAAATATGCAACTTTGAGTACCAGGCAGCTCTGTTGAAGGGCAAGGATGCCCAAGTGCAGTGTTTTAACCTGCTTTGGCATGTAATAACTGGGGCATCCGAAGTTAACAGGATTACTAGGCTATTGAGGGTGTAAAATCCAGCACAGAAACAAGACGGTCGCCCTCAGGTTTTTAAAATCCTTTGAAGATCACACCTACCTCCTAATATTAGAAAACCCATGTGGTGATCACCCAGGAAATGGAAGCTGCTTTGGCAGCTTGAGTGCCCAAGTGATCAGTACACCTTGTTTATCCTCTCCCTAGTTATCTAAAAAGGAGGATTCAGCAAAAATAACTTAGATGCTTATCTAGTATTTGACATTGAGATATTTATTTTGTGAAACAATGCAAGCGATTGTAAATCCCCACATACTATTTAAGTGCAATAGGGTAGTCATGTGTAATCTCTTTACACAGTAGTGCATCTAGTCCTTTGCCTTTAGTTATTGCACAAAAGTTATAGACCAGTGAACAAGACATGCGGACTGACAGGCAAATTGGCCTACACATTGAGAAATTAGAAAACAGTACACCAACTGGAATGATCAAATAATTTAAGTCAAATGTTTTAATGGTGCAATTAAATTAATCAAGGGTTCAAATATACTTTTTCAATATATTAGTTTCTTTAAAGTCGTGTTCAGGCAAGGTGCTGTTTAAAAAACCACTATTAGCTTTGTCCACAGATGTTATCAAAAGTTATCCACGGTAGTTCTGATGTTGAATGCAGCTTTAAACAATAAAAAGTTGTGTTTAAAGAGTACTTCTCAAAGCAAATTACATAACTAGGGAGCCCCAAACTTATAAACTAAAGATTCTGACACAAACGCACAAAATAAAGTTGGCAACATTAAAGAAAGGTCACATGAATTTTGAGATAACGTAGTGTTTAATGTTGAGCGAACTTGGTCGTGACTCTCAAAGGTGATAGAGTTCTGTTTTGGCTGTCAGAGGAGGAAACTGCCCGCAACCTCAAAATACAAATCAGATTAACAAAGCATTTTAGATGCCTATATAAAGCACAGAGCACACAGGAAGTGCCAGATAGAAAGATATGGCTCTGGCTTTCTGCTCCCACCTCAATCCATTATGTGCTGCAGTATTTGACATTTTCACATATGCTCGCGTCTCAGGAAAACATTTGGGATTAGAAACCAGGTGATTGTACCTCATTGGTAGAAGGCTTTGGATGGTTTGATCTCATGGCTTTGCCTAATGTTCACATAAATCCCACTGTCCCCACTCGAGCTGATAGTATGTTAGTGTGTGTATGTTCTATGGCTACTTCCAAAATGCACAATAGGAAAAAAGTTGCTATGCATACCTCTTTATCATCCATGAAATGGTTCACACAAAATTCCACTCCCCACCCTCCACACATTCCTGAATTGACATTCTCGAAGTATGGAGGGCTGTATCACCTACAAACTGTAGGAGGAAACGTTCCATTGTGCACTGGCCGCCTGAGGAAAAGCTTTGGAGTTGAGGCAAGGGGAAAGCCTTCCAGCTGTGTAGCTTTGCTCTTACTGTGCTCTTTGGCTGCCACAAAAACCGGTGGACTCAAAAAAGCCATGGTGTGAGTCATCTGTAACCTCCAGATCCACTGTGGTGACTCTTCCACAGTCTTCTTTGCTGAGTCAAAGCTTTGCAGGAAGGCATTTTGGGCCCCAGTTCCCAGATGCGTGGAATGACGACACGTCACAGTGGAATGGGCACCAGCAGGCAGAGGGCAGAAGCTGTGGCACGAGGAGGGGCCAGTGCTACAGCACGGATGGCAGCCAAGAACTCCACACCTTGAGCTAGATCTAATACTGGGAAGGTCGGATCTTCACCCATCACAGCTGATCAGCAGCCTCCACCAGTGAGTCTTTGAGGAGGCAGGAGGCGGAGCGAGGGTCCATGGCTGAGTGCATTATAGGGATATAAACATCATCCATGTTTGGCATGACAAAGACTTTCTGTAGGAAGAAAGAGCCATGTAGAAGAAGGCTTTTAAATAAGTTTTAAAAGTACCTATGAAACAGCTTTTCTTTCTTTTTTTTTTTTTATGATAGTCACAGAGAGAGAGGCAGAGACATAGGCAGAGGGAAAAGCAGGCTCCATGCACCGGGAGCCCGACGTGGGGAATAATCCCGGGTCTCCAGGATCGCGCCCTGGGCCAAAGGCAGGCGCCAAACGCTGCGCCACCCAGGGATCCCCTGAAACAGCTTTTCACATACATTCTAAGCTAGCTCCTGTCACATTTAAAGAGTTGAATCACATCAGCACATGAATACAAGAACCCAGTAAGTCAGCTCTGAGGCAGAAGCGCCTTTGATTTCATGACATATAGCGACATTACTCATGAATTCAACCTTCAACACCAACACCATTACTTTAACAGAACTGGCTTAACCTGCTCATGGTATTTCCAAATACTATGTCCAGAACACATATTCCAAGTGAATTTATTCATTTAAATCTTAGCAACAAAATGTAAGCTAATTTTTTTCACCCCCGAACCAGACAGCTATATAAGAAGGAAATCCTACTCTAATGAACACACGAAGAAGAATAGTGATTGATAGTAATGGTGCTTTGCCTATCCTGCTTATAAACTAATTTTACAGAAGTGAATTTTGGCAATGCACTCATGAAGTCTCCAGTAATACCCTCTTACGAAAGCATATATGAAAGCAAAAAAAGGTGGCTATGGGAAGTGGTAGCAATTATCCATCAACTTCCCAACTTGCCTCAAAATACCAGGCGCAAAATACATATGGTGGCTTCCGGAAGCCTGGGTAGCTCAATCAATTGGGTGTCCAACTCAATTTGGGCTCAGGTCGTGATCTCAGGGTTGTGAGATGGAGCTTTGAGTTGGACTTCAAGCTCCGTTCTCAGCAGGGATTCTGCCTGAGATTCTCTCTCCCCTCCCCCCAATAAATAAATCTTCAAACAAAAAGCAGGTGCCAACCTCTGTCCCTTTGTCTTGTCTTTTAGCTCCTTGTACCTCAATACCCCTGAAGGAAATGGCCTCCTCTAATTCCTATTATAGGACCTAGGAAAAGGAAAAAACTAAAGGTTGTCTTTCCCCTCACTAGGTTCAAATTACTTTTCTACTTGGTGATATTACTAAACTTTACAGAAACTGGTTTTCAGTTAACGTTAATCCATAGCCTTTAAATATAAGCTTTTATTTATAAATATAAACTTTTAAAGGCAATAGCTCAAAGTATACCATGGCAGAAATATGAGTCTCCTTCAAAAGGTGAAATGCATTATGAAGTAAATTGTTTGCCAATCCATAAAACCTCAAAACACAACTGTGCCTCGAATGTGATAAAAATTTGGTAGAAGTAGTCATCCCAGGGCCTCGACTACATTGCTTTTAGCTCTGGTGACAGAAAACAAGGCAGACATGGAGAATGAGTTCTGGCTTAGTGACCCACCTTTTGGGTTTCCTCTGAATTACTTAACAGGGTTCTGTGGATAAGGTTCAGGATTTCTGAAACTGGACCTAAAATGTTATGCCTGTTCGATCATGACAGGTACTTTCCTAGGATGAAGGTCCAAAGCTTTCATTAGCTTCTCAAAAGAAGATCCTGACCCAAATGAACTTCAGAACCTCTGTTCTGCTCTGAGCTTTGAGACTCAGGTGAAACGCACACCAAACAAACACCACATGTTTACCTGAAACTCTTGTTCCAGTTTCTTCTCTATCCAGTCTGTCACATGAACTAAAGTCACTTCTCTCTCTCCAAGTTTTGGCCGAGCTTTCAGCTCTACATATGGTGGCTTCCGGAAACCGTACCTTTTGAAGACGACAAGTAGTAAAAACCATTACATTTAGATGTTTAGATGCAAAGAAAGGAAGGACACAAGTACCAATAGCAGACCTAGTTCATTTGCCCAGGGCTTTATCCCTATTATAATTGTTCTCTTACTCTGAAGATCCCCTCTAAAAATGATGCAAAGCAGCCAACGCAAATTGTGAGCTCCCACATCCCCGGGCCATGTGTAGGACTGTGATGATCTGACAACAGTCCTGACAAAATGGTAAAGTCAGGAAGCACCACTGGAAAAGTCTGTGACCTGGGCACTGGTTTCTGGTTTTTTGT